TATAGGGCGCGTGCGCTCGCCAGACAGACAGAGAGAGACATAGAGACAGAAAGCGAGAAATCACCCCCCAGGGGGGATGGTCACGCCGCAATCCCTTCTCCTCCATTCTCCTCTCGGGATCATGGGCATGCACGCACACGCGCCCGGCGTGAGTTTTAAGCCACCGGGTCCGGGACGCGAACCGCGGTCGACTACGTGGGAGTCCAGCGACATAGCCATTACGCTAACTGCTGGTTCCCGAGAGTGATCATTTGTAATCAAGATTATGCTTACTGTAATATTATAGATATCTATATAATTGTGACAATGTGGAAAATTTTGATTCACATGTAATCAAATTGTATAAAATAAAATAAACTTCATGTTCAAGTCTGAACTCACCTGTGTCTGAATATCATCACCAGTCACAATATTGCCAACTGCTCTTAATGCAGGTGATACAACTTTATAATCATTGTGCCTGAAAATCACAAAAATAGGAACTTACACACTAGGAAATTTACTGGAAAGTTGCAAAAATTATACACAAAATTCCCATATGCTCTTCACTCACAGATTCTGTTCTAGTTTCACTTAATGTAATGTCTTTATAACAAAGAATCTAAGATCACACATTGCATTGAGTTGTCATGTCTCCATTCTGCTGAGTTGTTAGGGTCTCTCCAGTCTCTTTCAGTCTAATAGAATAGCTCCTCCGTTTTCCCTTGATTTTTATTATTTTAACAGTTTTGAAGATTATAAGCCAATTATTTAAGTTTATCCAATGTTTCCTAGGGATTAGGACCCAGGTTATATCTTTTTGGCTGGGATAGCACAACTGCTAGTCTTTTCATTATATTCTGTTGAGTGGCACAGGGTGTCTATTCTGTCCCATCACAGTGGTAGTAAACTTGGGCCATTAATCAAGATGGTATCTGTCATATTTTTCCACTTTAATCCTGATTCCTCCTTATAATTAAAATTACGTGAGAAAATACTTTAAATTGTATAAAATCTCATTCCCTAATCTTCTACCAGTAGCTTTAGTATTTCTTGAAGCTTATTGCCTTAAGTATTTGTAATTAGTTTTATCCCTGATTTTGATTTTCTACTACAATTATTCCAACTAAATACCTTATCTATCTATCTATCTATCTATCTATCTATCTATCTATCTATCTGAAATCAGTCATTTCTCTAAATACCCAGGTTCCTTTTAATGGACCATGTTTAGAAATGAAGATTTGAACATCCAGAGTACTCTGCTTGTTACTATATGGTTGTCACTGCTCCTATGCCCTTTAAGAAGACACAAAAAACATACACGTATACAATCATTTCTATGTCTCTTCATGATGAGAGTTACGAGTTCACATTGATATCTCAAGTTCTAATCTAATACCACATGATTATTTGCATCTTCTCCTCTTCCGAATTTACATTTTCTACTCTCTGCTTCAATTATCCTCATCTCCCTATGTACAACCAGTCTTCTGACCCAGTTAGACTGCTACCCGTGATGTGCTTCCTCTAAGCACTGATTCAGCCTGCTGTCTACTCACTCTCGTAGATATCGTTCTTAGTCTGAGACCTGATTCTCTCACTGGACTGGCCTGCTCTCAGTATGGGCTCTAATTCTTTATCTCTCTCTTCTTTGTGCCACCAGACTCTTTGGGGTCTACCTAATGGCTTTTTGACAAAAGAAGAAAGGTGGAAAAATTTTTAAAGAAGATAAAGTATAAATAAACTATAATATATTTTTAACTTTTCTTAAAACATTTTAGCTTCTTTATATAGAAAAGCTGTGATTTTTATAGAAGGTAGCTCTAACAGCCCACCAAAGAGAAACATATCTTAATTATAAGTAAGATACAACATGATTTTCACTATCTAAATGTTACAAAAATTATTGTAATAAATAATAATCTAGATTATTAATTCTACGAGAATAAGAACTGTGCTCTTTACTAACAAAGTCTCACACAATGCTTTAGCAGATAATAGGCTTTCCATAAGTTAAGTCTTAGTCATAAAGACATCAGATAAAACTAAAGAAATTCATTTACAAAATATCCTCCAACTATAGGATATAAAATAAAAGCTTAAAGGTCAGTATTATAGCTATTCTGTACAGTGTGGGGTGGGTAGTTTTATTCTTCCTGAAGACAGTGACTCTTGAGTTGTTCATAAGGCCATTACTGTAATTGCTAACCTTGATATGCAAACGTACAATTATAAAGTGTAAATTATAGTTACATTAAAAGTTCCACCAATCTTCGACAGACTCCAGAATCAATCACTGCTTGAATTTTATCATTGGGTCCATCGGAGAGATATGAAAGGGCCCAACACACATCTGCTAGCACATCTGGGTCACTGCTAAACAATAAGCGTGATAGGACATTTAAGCAAGGTGAAACCTAGAAGGAAGAAAGAACCAATATTTAAATTTTCTCTATCTGAAACCAAGTTTCCTTAGGAAAATATAGAAACTCAGTTTAAAGCAAAAATTAATGCTATAAAAATCCCAGAGAAATGTAAACATTCTATGGTTTTAAAATTATGATCACATATATATGAAAACAATACCACTTAAGATTCTTATTAATCTTATATTTAATTAGATATGTAGCAATTTAATGTTTTTTCATAATTTTTTTCATTTGCCGAAGGGCATGTGTACTCATTAGAAACTGACAGAGAGACAGAGAAAGGGAGAAAGCACCCCTGATGGGCCAAATCATGCTGCGATCCCGTCTCCGCTTCTCCATTCTGTCGAGATGAGGGACATGCATGCACATACTCCCAGTGTGCTTTCCAAGTCAGCTATGTGGGATCTGGCCCCCTAACTACTAGGCTACAGGGCTACCCTTCAAGTTTAAAAAAATAATAAAATAAAACATATATTTGGAGCCTTCTGTCTATGTCTAAATAATAAACACAACCCAAAAAGACACACCAAAACTGAGAGAAGTATAAATGCTTCAGTTAAATATTTAACATAATGATCATTGAATACACACAATGTAACTAAAATGAGTTTCAATTTACTCATTACATGTACTTTATCAGAAATAAATCTAATAATCACTTAAAGTGCAAAAGTATAGAAAATACAAAAATAAATATATTTCGGAAGGGTTCTCAAGTGGAAGTCACTAATAAGCTGCATACCTTCTCAGTGTAACGAAACTACATTTTCAACTAAAAAACAAACAAACAAACAAAAACAAAAATAAAACAATGGACGTGACAACAGAAAGTTTCAATCCCTCTAGCAATGCAATGGCTAGAGTGCCCCCACCCTCAGTATCATGTGTTCAAATTTGGTTGTTATGGGAGTAACAGAGTGAAAACTTAATCAGACTATTATGTTGAAAGGTGAAGCCTTTGGGAAGAGATTAGGATTTAGATCAATAAAGCAGGCCCTATGATTAATTCTGGGGGGATTAGAGGGAGAGTGAATGAAATCAGAACAGAGAGATGGAAATAGCTGTTCTGCTCTCACTTCGTGATGTGATCGGGAATTTACAAAGATCCCTTTTATAAGGTAGCTCTAACAGCCCACCAAAGAGAAACATATCTTTATTATAAGTAAGATATGACATGATTTCACGATATAAACATTATACAAATTATTATAATAAATAATAATCAAGATTATTAATTCTATGAGAACAAGAACTATGCTCTTTACTAACAATGTCTCACACAAAGTGTGAGATGTCACTTCTGGACCTCTGAACTGTGAGGTGAATAAACCTATATATATATACATTTTTTTTTTCTTAAGTGTTTTTGCTATGCTGCCATCCCTCTCCTTCATTCTCCTTCTAGGATTTTGGGAATGCATGCACAATGCTCAAAGTGATTTTCAAGTCACTGGGTTTAGGACTCAAGCAGTGGGAATCCAGCACTATAACAACTATGTCACCTCCTGGCCCCAATAAACATCTATTTTTATAAATCACCCAGTTTTAGGTATTTTCTGTTATTAACAACAAAATGAACTGAAGTAATTGTTAACACTACAACTAATTAGCTATAGAGCTAACTAAGCAAGACACTTGACTTCGATGAGACTCCACTTTCAAATCTGGAAAATGAAAAGCTGGACTAGAGAAATCTTAAGATCCTTCATGTCATCAGGTTCAAATGCTGCTAACTAGCTGTGTGAACTGTGAGAAAATTATCGAGCTTCTCTAAACTCAACTTCTACATTTGGAAATACAGAAATAATACAATACTATAAAGTAGGTAAGAATGCATGTAGTTTCTAAGAACTACATTTAGTAAGCACTAAAATGTTGGCTCTTTGTATCCTCATAATCATTACTGATTCTACATTCCTTAAAATTGTTTTTGCTTTAAATTAACAACCTAACATACACCTTAGTCTCTCTCTTAGGTAAGAGTTGTATGTTTAATGGTAGATACATCACAAATAAAAAATGATGATAGCTTTTTTCTGTTCTAATATTTTAGATGCATTTTTCCTTTATCTCTGTTTTTAAAACTGTCATACATAAACTATAATCTTATGACAGTCCTTATTGTCCTCGTTGGTCCTTTCCGCTAAGGATGACTCTATGGCCCAGATACAAAAATCAATTCACAAAATAGATGTGTCCAACTGTAAGATAATAAATAAAACTGGCACAACTGGATCCTTCCCTGACAATCAGCAAACCACCTCTCAAAAGAGAAATGTTTGCATCAGTTTTTAAAAGCAAATACAGTTTTGACTTTTTAAAAAAGTGTAGGAAATATATATCTTCTTACTGAATTAAAAAAAAAATAAGCAGTACACAGTTTTTTAGTGTCAAGAAAACAAATAAAAACTCTGCCCCATTGTCTTCTTAGAAACAAGAGCAAGAAGAAATAATGCCACCTTTGAGGAGACGAGTAAATATTTATTTCCGCTCACAATACATAAAGATCAAAGTGAATAAAGGAATGGTAGTGATGCAAGAGGAGGTAAAAGTGGAATGACAAATAAAAAGAGAGCTACAAATAAAAAGAAAGCTAATATGTCTTCCTGCTACCACCCCAAAATTCCATAGAAATAAGAGGCAATAGGTATCATAGAAGGTAGGGGAATAGTGCTAAAATTAATGGAAAGTTTAAAAGTCTAAATACTGAAGCCAGCAGGTGGTGCAGTGTTATGGTGTTGTACTTCCACATGGCTGACCACAGTTCAAATCCTGAAACTGGCAGCTTGACAGTCATGCTGGGAATGCATGTGTGTGTGTCCAAAATCCCAGGAGAATGGAGGAGAGGGGACTGCGGCAATGGCCATCCCTTCTGTGGGGCGACTTCTGTTTCCCTCTCACTGTTTCTGTCTCTCTCCAGCAAGCGCACATACCTTATGGAAAAAACTTTATTTATTTATTTATTTATTTATTTATTTATTTAAGAAAAGGGTCAGAATAAGAAGCAGGTTAGGCTCTGGGTCCCTACTACATAGGTTAAGTGGCTAGCATTCTCAATGCCACTAGACTGGAGGCTTATTTATTTATTTATTTAGAGAAGTGGGTTTTTTTGTTTTTGTTTTTGTTTGTTTGTTTGTTTTTTTGCTATAGAGTGTGTGTGCTAACCAGAGACATTCTCCCCAGGGAGAATGGCTGTATCACAATCCCTTCTCCTCCACTCTCCTGTTAGGATTTTGGGCATACACACCCATGTTCCTGCCATGAGACCTGAGCCACTGGGTCTGGGACTCAAACCATAGTTGACTACATGGGAGTCCAGTGACACAATTGTTATGCAATCTGCTGGTCCCTGGAGGCTTATTTTAAGTAGAAACTAGATAATAAAATATGAATTACAGAAACTGAACTTTGGACTATCAGGCATAATAGAGATTGAAATGAAGTACTGGATTGGAAATTATGGAAATTAAGTAAAAGTTTACACAAAATAGTTTTCTCTTATCTGTGGGGGAAATACATTTTAAGATCCCTAGTAGATGCCTAAAACTTTGGATAGTACTATACCTATGTACATATTTATTTTCTCATATATATCCATACCTATGATGAAGTTTAAATTAGGATCAGCAAGAGATTAATAATGATAACAAAAACTAAAATAGAACAACTATAATACAGTATAAAAAACGTATGTGAATGTGGTCCTAGTATCTTATTGCACTGTACTTGATTATTTTTGAATTATGGTTAACCACGAGAACTGAAACCATGGAAAGCAAAACTGTAAATAAGGGGACTACTGTACTGATTGGTAAACACCTCTAGCCTTCTTCCAACATTCAAAGAGTTCCAACAGTCAGCAATGTTACCTACTGTACCATCTAACCCAGTCTACCCACTACCAATAAGATAATGGGAAAATCTATCTCTGGAAAAACAGAAAGGGCTCAAGAAAGATACTTAAATTTGGAATTCCTTCAAGAAAATAGTTTTACTGCCCAATTATCCTACAGTAAAGCCCATAAAATGCAAAGGCCCATCCACATCCATCTTCCAATTAGCTTTGTAGTGCCTCATTACTAAAGCTGTCCAAAGAATCAAAGATCACAAGATAAATGAGAATGCTCTCCATTAGGAAAGAAACTAAGAGAAACAATGAATGATAAACAAAATTAGTAAGTACAAAGAAACAGACAATAAAGGAAACTTAAAAAAATATATATCTAAATTCTCATTTAGATAAACAATTAGCTGGGCCCACACAAGAAAAATAGAATTCTGCATAAAGATGAGCAACCTGAGAATGAGAAAAATAATTTTCAAAAATACAAAATATGATTACAGAAATAAAAAATTTTCTAAAAGGAAATGATAGAGGAAAATATTTCATAGAAAATCACTTTTGACAAAAATCAAGTCAAGATGGATCAAAGATCTAAATCTAAGACCTCACTCAAACTATAAAACTGCTCCTGGAAAACACTGGGGAAACTCTGGGAGAT